ATTATATAATATGAAGAACTGCACAAATTACCTTACATTGGGATGTAACATTTCGCACGTAATTTATTTTATTTTATTTTTAAAGACATTCTGCTTTCTCAGGAATATACGTTGCTTCATAATCGCTACATTAGTGCATTAGATCACTGTTTTATTCATAAGGAATGCTATTATTAGTCGTGTATACATTCGATTCGTTGTGATATTATGTAGTTATTAATATTACATTTTATATTTACATTGTTATAGACATTTAGAATAGTCACGTAAATTTAGAATTAATTTACGATTCAGATGCTTTTTTCTAGAGTAGACATTTTCATTTTAATAATAAATTTAGTATTTATTTCAATACTTATTCGATTAAAAATTGTAAAGTTAATATTTAGTACAAAAGATTTTTTAAAGCATGAATTTATGTTCTCTGATATATTGAAAATATTTTGAAATTAGAAGCTGTCTGTGAATAATCGACAAATGACTGTAAGTACTGAGGACTGTCTCACGAAAGTAGAAATTCCAGCATTGTCTTACGCTTGAAAAATCTTAAATTAGTATTTTTGCAAATTGTGTATATAGGAAATTCTGTTTGTACGTAGACTCTGTCAAGATCACATTAGACAGTGAGATCTATAATTATCTTGTTGGCATTCTCGCCCACGCGAAGCATCCAGTTTCTTCGTTCAGTTAATTATTAATTAAAAAGACTATTTTTAGGTCGTCTAAAGAGTCATAACGATCCTGATTTAAACGTCTTTTATCTCGTGTTGTTGACAAAAAAGTCACCAAACTTCTGTTTTATAGATTTGCTATTTTATACATATATTTGCAGAATTTATTTTCATTTTTCGGACAGCAAAAATTTTTACCCACAACGTATAAACAGACTAACGTGTAAATAATTCTCGTAAATTATATATTGAATCGATTTTAACACAGTGAATTAATGCGATAATTATAGGTAAACTGAAATGATATTAATTATAATAATTATATAATAATTATAATAATTATAATAATTAAAT